GAACAGATGGCAGGAGTCCCCCTGGGCGAACAGCGCCTACCCCGCTGAACACTGGGAGCTCTTGACCATCTGGACCAAAAGGCAACGAGCAGCACCCCGTAGCGGATTCCCCATCGAAGCGACATGCAAAAGGAGAGACGGGCTCACTCGGAGCAATGTCACCAACATACTGTCCATCAGCTCCATGTTGTTAGAATACAGTGTCCCACGTGTAAGGTTGAGTGATCAGGTCTGTTGCTCTTCCTGTACAGGAATGAGTGCATGTTGAGTGCATGTTGGGTCAACCCTTTCCACTCTTAAACTGCTAGATTTCACACACAGATAAAGCTTGTCTTAAAGTCCATGTAGTCTCAATGTTTGCATGCCCGATCTTGGAGAGAAAAATGTTTTATTGCTATATCAGGGTAGATGCAAGCAGGGTGGAGATCTCTCCAATACAGTTTAAGCTGTCTATCATTCTATGTAAGCACTTGCTGGAATGTATGAAGTTGAACTGGTTGGTTGAACTTGCTCCTTTGGCAGAAATAATGTCTCCTACAAATCAAAAGCATATTTTTGATTTGGCTTTGTTAGCCGTGCAGTCGTCTCTAATGCTGAAGAGCATGGGGATCCAGACTGGGAATGGAACAGGAAAGAAAGATATGTATTTAGTTAAGGTACTTAATGTGAACCAGTAAGTGAGTTGTTCTCAGCACATTCATTTGCACTTCATTTGGAGGTTTTAGTCTTAAGGGGGCTTACCATCCCAGCATTTGTTATCTAGGCTGACATTAAGTGTAGTGGTGGGGGAAAACAGTTTTGTTAATGGAAGAATCCTGACTTTTTTGGGGGGCTTGACATGACTCATTCAGTACAAAAGGCTTCCTTAGCGTACAGAAGACTGGAGTAGATCCTGAAATTAGCATCCCTATTTACTGAACTGAATCGTGACCCCAGGAATCAAACCAGATTGGATCAGATGAAATACTGGAATATTCACAGCCCTAGCAGTATTTTTAGAATGACTTGTAGGAGTTTCCCTAAGGAAAACTGGTCTAGTTTTGCTCACATTTGATTTTAAAAATGAACCAAGAGGAAAGATGAGGATAAATGGACTTAGAAGTAATTTATCAACTGGAAAGTTTTGGTGACCATCCTGCATCATCAGTACTACATGACCATGTGGAAAAATGAAATTCTAGACAATAGGCCTACAAATGACAGACAGTGGTCATAATGTTATGCAGCCACATAGCAAAAAACTGTGATGCACTGTGTGTTCTGACTCCTTTCTCTCAAAACCAGCATTAACTGTTTCAGCA